TTGAGGAGCTGACAGGATGCTTCCATCAGGTTTTTAAATGCTGTTAATATGGAATGTGTCTTACAGCATAAAACCAAAATTCTACTTTTGTTTTGCTTCTTCTGTATGTTTTCTAATACGGACATGTCAGTTTGGCTGTATAGTCTCATCATATTTAGGTTTGATTTAAATCCTGTCTTTTCTCAGCTGTGCTTGCTAATGGAATCATTCATGCTTTTTATACAATTGATCTAATAATATTTTCTTCACTGCTCTCTGGCATTATTTTTTACTTTGTAGAAATCATGGCAAAACTGGCAATATAAATTGAGTCTGCATTTTAATGATATTGATAGTGATTTTCTTACATATTTGTATAAAGCAGGGGTTTTTTCCTCTCTGTACTGTGGTCACTTCAATATACTGTGGTATAAGCATGTGGATGACTGTTTGATTTGTAAGATTCTCTGATAAGGCTTTTCCTATATTACTTTGTTACTTAAACTGCTTTTCTCAGGAAGGCCATCAACCAAATATCCATGAGATAACTTCATTTTCCTCTTTTCTTTTTTTGAGCAAGATTGTCAGGTAACTTGTGAACTGGTCTGTTGGAAGTCCCTGTCCCATACAAGGGGAACAATGGCTTACCACTGGAAAGCACTGGGAGATGGTAAGTCAGTGACTTCCAGCATTTTCTGATTTGTAGATTTCTCAGATTTCAAATGGGGTTTCTTTTAGTGACAACATATTTTTTCTGGATACCCTCAGAAAGAGGACAAATGATGTACTGTGACCATGACCATCTCTGTTCCATTTTATATTTGCACAACCTTCATGACGACTTTAACGAGTGTGGGGGGAAGAGGCATACGTGTGAGCCTTAGAGTGAATTTTGTCCTTATTTATACAGAGGATCCAAGATGGCAACTGCTGCCTCAGGAGAGTGAAGCCCCTTACAGAAGCAACAGATGCAGTTCAGCATTGCTCTTTCTGTTGTGCTTCAACTCTGACCATAGAAGAGTGAGCTCTTGGGACAGAAAGTGCTCTGTTTATGCTCAGACCTTGGCATTTTTCCTAAGAGAACCAATTATAATGGTGTTTTTTGTGATATGGGCACACACCCATTATGAACTGGCTTGCACCCACCAACACGTTTTGCACAGGCCATGGAACATCCATCAGATGGTAGTGATTCCCATTTGTGTGCAATGTTAAGGAAATCTAGATCATTACCAGCAGAATAATGAATTCCATAGAATTGTTCCATTGTGCAATTATATGAACTATGCTAAGACAAAGTGCAGTTTCTCAATAATTCCCTCTTTTTTTTTTTTTTTTTTAAAAACCACAGGAATGATAGATTATTAATCATGATTAATACTCAGTTACAGTGAATTATAGTGGAGCAGTGCCTGGAAATCCCAGTCTGCTTGGTAAACTCATTTTCTTGCATAATAGAAAACTTACCTTGCATTTAAGAGAATCCAAATAGATGAAGATGAAAGCAATGGAATCACCCATTTCATGTAATTATAAGAGAAATTTAATGGACACATACATTCTTAGTCCAACACTATTGAACTTTTTTTGATACTGTACAAGCATAGTAGGAGAAACACAATTGCAAACATTTTGATTGTCCTTGTACTTTACTTTCTTCCTGAGAACCAAAGTCTTCTAGAGCTCAGCTGTAGCAGTCATCCTGAATCCCTAAACAGCACTGAAGTTAAGGCAGAGTTGTGCATTGTCTTGACATTTGGAAGATGTTGATTGTTCTAACTGATGATTGCTTGAGAGAGTATGGATCATTAAAATGCTTTAGGAAGCAGAGGAAAGTTAAATGAGGTAATATAATATGCTCCAGCCCTATATTTGGGGGTGTACACAGAATAATTTTTTTCAGCCCCTCATTTAGTGTGCATGAAGAGTAAGGCACCAGAACGACATTATAGAAGGGCTCATGGCCAGTCAGAGAATTTAATTTCCTTAGAGATAACTCATCTTTAATCTTTTGGAAGCACCCTGAGGCCTTTCCCATATTTAGCAAACGTCAATTTCCCTAAAGTTTACATCCCAATCTGTGTTGTGCTCTGAGAACACAGGGAAAGGAGGTGAAAAGACATGTTCCCCTCAAGGGTGAGACTGCTGGGTCATTTCCAAGAGGAGATCCTTAGAGAGCATCCCATGGGCCCCTCCTGTAGAAGGTAGCAATACAGCTCTTCGTTATTATCTCTGTCTCTCTCTTCCCCCAGCCAATCTGTCGGTGCATTCCTGGTGCTGAGGAGGGAGAGGCGTCGTGTCGGAGCGATGTTCCCGTTTGCAAAATGGTAACTTCTATTTGTTGTTCTGAGGAGCTGGTTTCACACACTGACATCTCCTGGGAGCACAGCTGAGTCCAACATGTTCCGAACAGCCATCCACCCAAACGCCTCCTACTCAGGCGCTTAGACCTTCCTTCCCAGTAAACAGAAAATACAGAGACAGCCTTGAATTGTTCCAAATGTTTCTGTTTCACTGGAATGTCTACCCATGTTCAAATCTGATAAATGGGTATTTTTCTGCCCTAGGAATTCGGCTTAGTGTGGGAATAGGATGGTTGTTCAGAGAGGAAACCCAGTTTCTGGAATAGTTAATGGAAACGTCGGACTGACTTTCTCTGGTGTCAATATATTAAAATGTTCCTATATGTCATGAAAACACAATGTTGCAATTAACAATTTTATGACAGAAAAGAAAGTCATCATAAGCTGCTTCTTCTGCTGCATTGTATGAAATAACACATTTTTCAAAGTTTCATCGTTCATACAGAAGGTCTCCAAAAATCTACTTCCTACAGTAGGAAACTGAGCAATGTGCCATTGTGCATTTTAGGCAAGGAAATATTGCTGCATTATTTAAAATACCACCATTCACTACAACAGCAGCCCTCAATATATCCCACAGTGTGATTCCATTCATATTGTTGGGACATCCTGTCTACCCATCCTGTCTATGACCCCTGTAATTCTGTCTTTGACATTACCCATGCCCTATAGTAGACATGACTTCAGTATCCCAGCCTATGGGTTACAACATGATAAAAAAAGATCTTTTGAAGAATAATTCCTAGGAAAAGAGTTGAAAAAAACTCCACATTTGTGCCAGTAGTCCTTAATTCAGCTCCACAGCTGAATGGAGACCTCAGTTGCTAAGGGTGATGCCTGTGTGGTCAATGCTTTTGTGTGGTCAATTGCCTTGCAGGCTCAAAACTGAAACAAGACATCCTGGCTTGCAAGACAAGCTCTCCATCTCTAGGTCCCACACTGATAATATTTTGGGGTATGCCACCGCCTGGTTTCCTGTCTTGGGTTCCTTCCAGCCATTGCACATGAAATCTCCCCTTTTGGGCAGCTGCCTCAAGAGCAAGGACTGCCAACGGATGTCTCTATTGGTACTTCTCTAAGAAATGGTATGTGGGCCAAATTTTCCCTTTTTCTGACTCTTAAGTGCCTTGGGTTGATGTTTTTATTCATACACACTCACATGCCACTTTGCCAAGGATAACCTGTGATAGAAAGGATGGAATGATCCAAGGTTCTCTGGCCTGATACGTTGCACTGAGAGTTTAGTTATGAGGCTCAGTACTGGAAAATTTAACATCAAAAATCTATGGGAGAATGGAAACTGGACCATTAAAACTCAACATTGCCCAGCCCAGGGTGGGTGTCCCAAACCAGTGCCTCCTAAATGGCAGTGGGCAGTTCTTTAGGGTTTGGATCCAGACCCAGCCAGCAGGCTGGCACTGGTGTGGCAGTGAAGGACTAATGATCTTGTTCCTTCAGGCGGCTGCAACTCATAATGTGACGTCACAATTAAAATAAACAAAACTCTTGTACTCCCCACCAACGTCCTGCAAGGAGCACAGAAGCAAGGTGTGCTGGGCTGCTCCATGCATTGTTGAGGTTTGTTGTCCTCTGGTCACTAAGCTTTGTAAGACACCTCTACAAAGATTGTCAGTGGTTCTAATTATTACTTTTTGGTGGTTTGAAGATATAAATTTTTCAGAAGTGGAGGGCAGAAAAGGTAATTCACATGAATTTTTTTCCCATTAAATATTTGTCTATCAGGATTACTCTGATTAATAAACAAGAGGCTTCAATGATTTCAACTGTGCTCAGCATCCCAGTCTCTTGCTCAGGATCTTTCCTTGGGATTCTCCAGGCACTTCTGCACTGGAATCAGTGGGGTTTTGGGGAGAAATTTTAGTGCCTGTGCAAAGCAAACACTATTTCTGGTGGTAGTCTATAAATATCAAATATGAGCAAGCAACTCTGTGTTTTCCTCTGTGCTTAATACCTGCGTTCTGCACCCTCAGGCAGCTGAATTTATGTGCTTTTGTTGTCATACGTGTAATGTGCAATATGTATTTCCTTTTTATTAATCAGACCTGCCATCAGAAAAGAGATAGAGGGAGTTTGAAAGCACAGCCAGGATAGATACTGTCATTTTGTAATCCTTTGTGCACAGGTGGAGATGTCTGTTTGTACTGAAATAGGTGGCAATATTCTGCTGCTTGCAGAAATCTCACAAATGAAAATAAAGCAAAGGAGTTTACTGGCTATCCACAGTGTAATTCTCCTCTGGAAGCATGCAGTCAATTCCCATTTAGGCTAATTACACTTAAGGAGCCCTTTCCTATAACTAATGAACAATAGGCATAACCTGTTATTACATAACCATAGGCACACACATTAATACACTGTCGAATGGCACTACCCTGTGAAAATGCTTCCTCCACAAAATTCACTGGAGATTTTAGCAACATTTGCTGTAATTACCACTAGCATGGCTTCTAATTCATTTAATTTTCTTTTCTATCTAAACTGAGCATATAAGTGTGTTCTAAGAGATTGAATAAATAAATTTTTAATTATAAAATGATGCTATATCATAAATTATTTATAATAACCAACAATATGTAGTACATATTTAGGTATGAATCCATTAGGAAGATGAAGTAATATATATATCAGTCCTAAAATAATGTCCTAATTTGTCCTGTGTTTATGAATGGGGAAACCTGTGATTAAAGGAATTACAGGTTTATAAAAGCCTTGGATTGACAGTGGGTAAAGCATGTGGCACACTTGGCACTTAGGAATTCTGTTGTCATCTATGGCAAAGGAGAAGACCCTTTTTTGTCCTTTATTGGCTTCAGCAGTTTGTGAAATCACACAACCAGAATGGTACAGATATACAGACCTCCAGGGAGGGAGCAGAAAGATGCTCACAGTCCTCATTGGCAAAATCTCTGGTTATTATTAATATCTTAAAAAAAAAAAATCTCCTTTGTAATCTGTCAGTTCACTTTCAGGTAGTTTTGAGGAATTTTTTCAATTGTTTTCCTCTTAGCGATAGCAGACTTCAGAAATTTCCATGGCAAGTTCCAGGCATTCCCCAGTCTCATGGCAGGACTCTAAAAGGCTGCAATCAATGTCACAGTCACAGTTGCAGTCGTTGTTGCCATGGTCTTCGTCAGAGGTCTGGTAATATCTATTGGATGGACAACAGGTATCTGTCAGCCAATGTTCACAGGTATCAGGCAGCATTACAAGAAAGTCCCAAAATTGGCAGAACAAGCAGGCCAGGATAAGAGTTGCACATTCATCTAAGAGAGAGGAAAAGCAGGGAGACATGAGAACAAGGGCATGCTGGATTACCCAGGTTTAGGCTTGTGTGGCTACACAGAAATGAGACGCAAAAGAGCACACAGGGTGGGCTAAAAATACATTGGTGATAACTACCTCCATAGAGACAAATGAAAAGTTTATTTTCTATGATATTTGTGTCTAGAAAAACAACAGCTGCATGAAAATAATTTGAATGGAAACATTCTATGGCAGTGAAGTTCAGAGGAATAAGCACTTTGAACCAAATTTATGATTGGACTTGATTGGACCCTTTTTTGTCCTTTATTGGTTTCAGCAGTTTGTGAAATCACATTAAAATGTATAATGAGCTCTCTCACTTGTACCCTTCTGATTCCCTCATTCTGCAGCAGGGCAGTGAATGAGCCTCTCTGTGGGGCTGAGTTGCAGCCTGGGACAAAACCATGACACCAGCTCATGTGACACTGGAGTTTATTTTCATGTTCACAAGAATTTGCACTAAAAATGCTTAATGACTGGTCAAGTACAGGGAGGTAGAGCAGGTCTGGAGAAGAGCATTCACAGAGGGCAGCGTGATCATCAAGTCTCAGCCCAGAGTCCTTCTACCTCCCCACCAAAATGGGGTTCTCACCTTTTCATTCACAAATGTCAATTTTTTGAAGGAGGAAAAAGTTTGGAAAATAGGTCATCTAGGTTGTGTGTCTGTAGCCAGCGAATATTCCTGAAAACTTGGTCACCATGAATAAAAACTTTGTGTTTTGTTTGTTCCCTTCAAAAGTCAACAAATTGACTCCCCACTGCTCAGCCTCCAGCATCTGGGGAGGCTGCTTGGGTGCAGCAGGTGTGAAATTCCAACTGTGTGTATCCAGTTGGAGCGCAAAGACCCAGACCTTTCCTTTTTTTTTTTTTTTCTTCCCCCCCCCCCTTCTTGTTTTTGGAAGGGAAAAATGCCTTCAACAATATGAATGTCTTTTCATTGGTTCTTTCGGGAAAGCATATGGTTATAACCACATTTCTTGCCCTAGGATGACTAACTGTGAACTCATTCAACTGCATTGGTTCTGTTGTGGCATTTTCTCTCTCATGTAACATTAAGTTCACTGCCAGGAAGTTTCCGGAATTATGCTCTTTTTTTTTTTTTTTTTTTTTTTTTTTAAAAAAAGAAAGCTTTCTTACTGAAAAACAAAATTTTAAAAAAATCCAGCTTCTTTATTTAAAAAAATAAGCAGTTAAGGCAGGTAGCAAGAATAAATAGCATATGATTGAACTTCTTTCTAAGTGTCATATCATCACCAATGTTATCAATTTTAATACTTATTTAAATATGTCAAGATCTATTTATGTTCAGACAAGCACAACTAACTTCTAAGTCAGTCCTGTCGAATAAGAGTGACTAGATTTCGGTGATACTTGGTAAATTCATGCTTATGTTTTTTTTCAAACTAAATGAACTGAAATAATTATAAAATTGAAACATTTAATAAGATGACACCGTTGCATTTAATTGTATGAAATTTGCACTGTAGAAAATGTAATGATTTTATTCAGCAGTCCTTGGTGTAATTAAGACTATTCTTTTTAGTTCTTTATGTTTATGAAATTTCTTTCCTATACATAGATGTGAGAGACAGAATTCAAAATTATGTATTAATTAAGGATTTTTAATTTTTTTTTTCCCCTCTCCAAAGATCTGTTTTCTAATAACAGGTTTTTTCCCTTGAATGTGTTAACCATAATGGTGCTTATGTAATCTGGAGAGAATAGATATGATTCTTAGGGCTTCATCCAGGAAAGAGAGCACAAAAAAAGCACAAAATTTTAATAATAAAGTAATGTTTCAGCACAGACCCTGTGATGTGCAGTAAAGATGCTTTTAAATTCCCATCAGAGCACACACCATGAACTGTGATAATGGATGTAACACATTTCGAAAAATCTGCATGTGTGAGGCTTTTTGGTCCTGTTTTAAGTGGGGTAATGTATATAAATAATAGATATTAGCAATTAAACATCCATTCCTATGCATTCATTTATATATTTGAAAATAAATTAGCCACAAACTGCATAAAAGAAGATGCAATCTCCTGTTTTCCCCTCTGTTTTCCCTGCTGTTTGCCAAACAGTGTTACTGCGTTTATCTCAGTGAGAACAATGACCTCAGCTCTCATTCTCTACATTAGTAGATTAATTAGCACAAAAGAAGAATTTCTAATAATTTTTCTAGCATGCCTCATCTCTAATTTTTTCTGCTCTTGTTTGGTGGCATCTGCTTATAGAGATGATACTCTGAACAGCCGTGGTCCAACGCTCACTGAGGCCACACTGGCCACACTTAGTGACACTCATGTGGATCTGCTCCTCCCTGAGTGCACAGAACAATATAATCATCAATTTCCTCACCTATTCCTCTGCTTTCAGGGGTTCTCCATGCACTAGAAAACAGGATTGGGCCTCATGTATGTAGAATAAACAGTAAGTTGTCAGAGTAGAGTGAGCTGAGCATGCAGTGACAACCACAAATCTGGCTTCCTTTGGTTTTCTTGGCTTCCATCCAGCCCTTAACATTATTAATTGAGCACAGATCGGGTTTTTTTTGTTGTTAATTTCTTTCACTTTTAGCTTTCTTAAGGAGTATGAAATCTGTTATTTGCATCACATGGTACACACCTGTGTGCCAGTAATGGTTGAGATAGTCAGCAAACTCAGAAAATAGGGAGTGTCTGGACTAGAGGACAAGTCCTCTAAATAAAATAAATCCTTCAGATCCTTCGTTAAAATTAAGTACATTCTAATAGATGTATCAGATACATCAGCGATAAAATAGAGATGTCAATGATTCCTGGAGAGCCTGGCATTTTATTGTACTGATATATATTTAGACATTCTTAATTTAGGAATTGTTAAATGATATACAGGATATAACACACTAATCCATTATTGCAAAAGGCACACATAAGAAACTTCTAAAATACTTCACAGAGCCTTTTTTCACATCCACTGGAGTAATCAGGAATAGCATTTATTTGATACTGACACTGGTACCTCTGTGCAAACACTCATTACTGAAGTACAAATACTTTTTGGCACAATAAGCTCTACACTCCTGTTGTATGACTTTAATATCACTGACAATTTAAGATCATCTTCTAGACAATCTCATCTACCACACGAATGTCTGCAGGGCAACTTAACATTGCTTTTGGCGATGTTCTTGAACCTCCTGTTCAGCATGTAATTTCAAGTCGGATACACACAGTTCTTTTGCAATGGGCATTATTTAGAAATCAAATGTGATCTGTTTTGTAAAACGTACCGTCACTGTCCCTCTGATGTACTGATGCGTCATCTTCAATGTAAGAGAATTCTCTGCATTTCTCCAGGGAAGCAATGGATGATCTGCTCGCATCTGACAATTTCTTCTCATTTTTGGTGCCCTTTGATGAAGCGTCTGTGATGCTGAATTCTGCGACAGAACTCATAACAATACCTTTCATAGGCTTTTCATCTGTGTGTTTTTCATTTGTAAGCTGGTTGTCTGGTGGGATTAGGAAAAAAAATAGACTGTGATACCAAGATAGAGATCTGAAAGAATAACATATGCAGAATTTCCAAGCCTACAATTGTTTACTTCCAAGGCCTAACCCTTCTTACCTAATGATTTCAGTCTCTTTACAGAGGTCTATTCATAGTATGGTGTTTGTGAACTTGCCTTCTAAGGTTTTGTCTTAAACCCAGTGGACTTAGAGGCTAAGTAATAATTTACTTCCACTGGATGAGATCAGGTTTTGAGAGAGAAAAGAACTATTGCCTCAGTTATCATCTATTTTGAGTATCCTATCATAACTTCAATTTGTGGTATAAAAGAATGTAAAACAATTAACTTGTTATTTTTCAACAGCAACTCTCTTTCCCTAAGTTTACAGCCAACAATGTACACATAGGGGGTACCTTGACGCAGATGTGCCAGCTCACCATGGCTCATAATCTTGTAGCAAAGAAAGCCAGATGGTCTCTGTTTAACATCCAGATTCCTTATTTCATAACTTCATCCCCACTTGTGGTGTTGGCCTGGAAGGCAGCTAGGAGATGGGATACTTCACATGCTGTCAGCGTGCCAGAGAGGCAGCTCAAAAACCAGAGGGAGAGCTTAATTTTAAGCCCCAACTAGGGGAAAGGTTAAGAAGAGTTCTGAGTTCAATTTATTCTTGAAGAACTTCTCAGGCACAGATAAACATGGGCTGATATATAGTTTCACTCACTCTCTGAAGTGATCAAGAGGCCAAGAAACACAGTCATTCTCTCTATGGCGGGGATGATAAAACCTCATCAGTTCTTATCTACAGCTGATTAACTCCTGCACCTCACATCAAGCACAGCGTCACTTTTTATCTTACTTAAATCTTGTGATATGCTTGCTCTTGAGCTACATACAGAAAATCAATCTTTACAAACAACTCAGTTTTGCAAATACTACTTTCTGAGAGGAACAGTAAGTGCTCTAAAGTGGTTAGTTTGCACTTGACTGCAAGGACCCCGAAGAGAGACCCTGCATATCTCTTGTTTTTTAGGTACCTTTGACCTCTGACATATGCTGAAGAAAAGCCAAGGAAAGGCTGGCAGAGAGTGAAACCTTGATGAGACTGCAGTTGTTCCACCAGTATCCTTGCAGCCAAGAGGAGGAAATGTGGATGGAATGGATAAATTACAAGGTAAGTGAAAAATCACTGGGTCCATAAGGCTTGAAGTGGGGAGAAGCAAGGATTTGAGGTCTAAGTGGTGCCTGGAGCAAGTCCAGTGAAGGCCACTGAAGATGTGAAGAGTCTGGAAGCACTTCTGTATGAGCAGAGGCTGAGGGAGCTGGGCTTTCTTGTCCTGGAGGAGAGAAGGCAAAGAACGGTGCTGGATGCTGTGTTCTACTTCATAACCAGGGTAATGGAGAAGCCAGACCTCAGCTCCTCCCAGCAGTGCACAGAGGCAAAAGGACAAGAGTCCACTCTCACAAGCTGCAGCAAGGGCAATTAGGATTGCACAGGGAACAAATTCCTCATCATAGGAGGTGTAAAGCACCAGAGCAGTCCAAGGAAAAGAGAGAGAAGTGTGTTGCTGGGCATGGGCCCCAGCAACCTGCTCTTACTGCAGTTAACACTGGTTTGTGGCACAAGCAGATGAGCTGACTTCTAGAAGCCCCTTCTGAGCTCGTTCTTGTGGGATTTCTATGATTCTATTTATGCATAGAATGAGTGAGCAATTCATTTAAATTTCTGCTCACTGTCTCATTGTAAATTTCATGCCATTTTAGGTCATTTTTATGTGATGAAATATGTAGAAAGGTAAAGGTTAGGAGACTAAGACCTTGGGAGAGGATATGCAGAAATACTAAGCTATCATTTTAATTTTCGTTTTACATTTAAATCACTGCTTTAAAATTGTGTGTTGGCAGATGTATTGGCTTGATTTTGAACTTGTAATAATGACGTCTACTATGAAGAAAATGTGGAATTACCCTGTCCTGGAGAGTTTACAGGTTGGCCTTAGACAGAGAGAGAACGATGGGATGGAGAGAAATAGAGGAAAAGAGACAGTAAGACAGCAGTGGCACAGAGAGGAGTCTCAGAAACCTATAACTGTCAGGTTTTATGAGTGTTATGATGAAGGAAAGCCACAGGCAAGACTTGGGAAGGGCAGGAGAGATGGTGGCTCCACTGAGTGTGACCCAGCAGTGCAAAGCACAGCATTTCTCCCCTGCAGGCTGTGCCCTTGGTTGTAGGAAACCAGCATGTCAGACTGTGCATATCTGGTTTTGCCCATCTGTGGTGATTTGTTGATGGTTTTCCCAGCAAATTAAGTAAAAGCTCTGTTTTTTCCCTCTCTGTCTTCTTGGCCAGCCTCTTCAGTCCAAAATGTGAAAACTCATGCATTTTGGATGTACTTACATGTGCAGTAATCACTATTTTCCAGTGTTTATAAATCAGTGACACACCACAAGTTTTCCTGCACTTTCATTCAATAACAAACCATCTCCAGGAAAAGTTGTGCTAATTGAAGCAGCAGAGCTCTAGAGGAAGCAATATCCTGCTTTTGCATTGGATTTATTGGATAATAGTTGATTTGTGAGTCCAAAAGACACATGCCCCACCTGCTATTCAGGTGCCAATCTTACACATGGATCCTGTTTGTCCAGACTGAGAGCTACACACAAGCTGAGCTGCTGAGCACACACGGATCAGATCCAAAGGCGTAGGCAAGAATGACTATAATTTTCCACTTTCATAATTGGCCCAAAAATCCAAACTAGATATGTTTTACTTCACAATATATCTGTTGACTTCCCCAGTTCTGCAACAACACAATGGCCCATGGAATGCATTTAAGCATTCAACAAGCGAGACAGAAAAAAAATCAGACAGAAGTAATCAGTAAATGCCAGACTAACATTTACTGTATCCACCGACTTCTACTATTCATACTTCGAGTCAATTTTTATTCTTGAAGTGCTGTTGAAGAGAAATCAAAACCAGAAATAGAAAGGCATAGACATAACCTGAATTTTTCAATACAGCACCATCAAACAAAAGGATAACAAAAGCTGTCACTCAAGGACTCTTCTGTTTGTTAAAGCATACTACATCTTGGAAAATACAGTACATTTTAGTGTCAGACTCTTAGTTTGAAAAGCTCCCTTTCAGTTATGTTATACTTGTCTTGTACAGCTAGATCAAGTCTTCATGCAATCACCGTAACAAGCAACTTGCTATGACAAGTGAGATCCTTGCTTCCAGAAAACACTGCAGGAGAGGCTAAAGCACTGTACAATTATAGGTCTCCATTTCATTTGTATGCAATTACCTTCAGTTCAGCTGTGGGTCCATCTACATTATGTCTTTTATCAATTTAATGTTTGCACAAAGTGTCTGAAGAAATAAAGATTATGCTAGAACAGCATAAAAAAAAAGGTGGTTAACACTTTTTTTTCCCCCCTTATTATAGTTTGTTGCTGGATGGAACAGTAGTAGATTGAGAGTTTGGAACAAGTAAGTGCAGCAAAATAAACTTTAAAAATACGAACAACTGATATTATTTATTATTACTGCTAATTGAGAATATAAAAAATTAAATTACAATGAAAGACGGGTAGAGGGTCAAGCCTTGCTGCTTCTTTTACGAGCTTGTGTTCAGCTTCAACTGTCTGCAAATTTCTGTGTTTTTAACATGTATAAATCATCCACTGAAGTGAATTTAAAAGAAAAATAAATGCATCACGATGAAGAAATCTCAGACTATTCAGTGTTAGACTGTTAGGCAGAGGCGGCTAAAGGTACACCCCCACAATGTGCCATTTTTAAATAGTATCATGAAGTAGTAACTTTCTTCCTCATATGGGGAAGCTGGGACTTGCCTTGGCTGTTGCAGTAGAAGACTGGGATTGTTCACCCATGTTTGTATTAAAGATATAGTCTCAATACTCACAAGTGTCTAAATTCATGAAAGCATGAAGTAAATCACTTATTTTCCACTGAAGCCACTCCCAGATCCCTCTGGTTAACAGGGAGGAGCAGTGATACCAAGACTGGCATTGCATGAGGTCCCCTGACTTCTATTTTTCTTCATAGGCTTTGGACACAAACCAGTGTCTTGCAGTCCTGGAGAACAGGAGGTTGGGGTTTCCTAGTATGCTTTTGAAATTAGATTTTCTATAGAGGCGTTTAAGAGTGTTTTTGATGAGGGACAGGGGGAATAAGTGGTGCTCTGTTCTGCTGGATAGGGACTGTAGCAATGTGTCTAATCCAAATAGCTCTTGGAGAAACTGGTTAAGGGAAGATGCCACTGAAAGAGAAGGAGAATTGATCTATCACCATTGTGGGGCTCCTCCACATCTTACAAGCAAAGGACAAGGGAGCCTGTGGCTCTACCTTCCAGTGGCATTTGTTCCCAATCTATCCTGGCAATGGCCCTTTGCCTCACACCCCTGTGGCAAGGAGGCCCAAGGGTTAATGCTAAACTGTGTGGAAAACTCTAGCAGTTTAGGACATGTAGCTTTTTAATTTCACCATGAGGCATCTTGGTGTATCAGTGCAGCAAAAGAACCAAAGGAATGCCTGACTGCTACCCCTGCCATTTGTTATCCCATACACTGCTGTCACTACCTGTCTGTTTAATATACCACATGCTCATCACTGGAAGAGTTGTGTGCCATGTCCACTCAGTCCTGAGATGAAGCGGGCAGAGCTATATCAGACCTGATGGATGGTAACTTGTAAGTATAATGGCTTGATCTGAACGCACTCGGTTTGAAAAGACTCATAGTAAAACGAAACCCAAACCTCAGGTTTCGATGGGCAGGTTTAAAAAAAGAAAAAGTAAAAAGAAAACCAAAATACTTTTTCTTGCTAGTTTAAAGGACATAATTGTCTTCCAGTAGCAATGGGAGGGAATGCCAGGGGTATCTCTGCACAATGTGACACATGCACGGGGCCAGCAGCTTACCTGGATGGTCCTCACTGCTCGGTGTCACCCCAGGGAGTGCCAGGAGAGGCAGGGAGCTGGTACGGTTGTCTTGGGGGGAGAAAAGAAAAAAAATGGCAGAGGAATAAATGTAGGTAAATGTGTTTTGGCACAGCTATCATCCTCAGCCACTTAATGACAGTCACTGACTTGGGGAGTTGGTGCTTTGAAGTCAAACAGAAGCAAGTGTGCTTCCTTGCAGGGGGAGATTACATGAGGTGGTGCACTGTTTCTGTTATCTTCTGTGTCATTTCTGGAAAGAAAGACAAATTAAAACAAATTGCTAAGAGAGAAAGTTTCATCTGAGAAGAGGTGAAGAGGATCACCAGCAAATGCAACAGTTCAGGTAGGACTAAAAAATTTGAGTACTGGGAGGTATGCAATAAAATGTGGGGCATCATCCACACACAAACACCACAGAAGCCTTACATGAGATTCCAAAACCATCAGCAAATGAGAGAGGAAATTTCAGCCCAACCTCCATGGCTTAGCAGTCTTGGTGGACAAGATGCCCATGGTGGCAAGCCCAGGTGCCCACATGGGTGCTGAGCTCCTCCACCTGGGCTGCCCTTGCCACACCATGCACTCTGTGCCTAGGGCTTGGAGGCTTAAACATTCTCTCCTTCTCTCTCCAACTGTCAGGGAGGCAAAATAGGAGGGGGTGTGGGACTATCCCTACAGTGAGTGCAGCAGATGGAACAAACTCCATGGGAATTGCTCTTATCCACGTGGGAGAGGCCAGAGGGAGAGCGGGCGCCACAGCAGTGAGCTGCTCCAGACCAATACATCACGGGTGCTTTCATAGTTCTGTGCCCATTACACTTTGCTGAGCTCAGGCATAAGGATGCAGGGGATTTAGAGACTGTTTATTTTTGTCGTAAGGAAACAGGAAATAGTACACAAGGCTATAAATATATCTTGGGCTTCATATGACATCATGAACTCGTGCAAGTTCTTCGCTTCTGATTTACGATGATGGACTGGTAATTCACAGGAGCTTTGGGTTTACTTTATTTTGCTGTTGCAGTAACAAAGCTAATGGTGCAATCCCGGGAGGGGGTATTTTATCAGTAGTGAATTTTTGACCTCATTGCGTACGTTTTAACTTCATGAATTAGTGACCCAGCTAACTGTAAAGCCTTCTATAGGCTTATTATAAATCTATCACAGGACTGGCAAAAACTTTTGGCCCAGATCCTAAGCTCTGACAGGCATGTGTTGATGGACTGCATAGCAAGCACTTCCACTAATATTTCTCACTAATTATACCATATATTAAGAAAAAATGAATGAAGCCAATGTTTATATGCAGCTTTAACTGCTTTTCATATAAGAAAGCAACACAATCCCTAATAAATTTTCACCTTCAACATTTCTATTCATTATAATTTTTACCATGATGAATGAAGTTAGAACTGGAGAGGGAGGGGGTTCATCTTGAAATCTGTTCAGTGAATGACTGAATTTACTTCCCTTCCCCAACTTGTGTCGAGGAAGGAGGGAACAGATGGACACAGGAAGAAGAGGGAGGCGAGTGCGGAACGAAGGAGATGGGTGAGGAACAGATGGAGTTGGGGGAAAGTGGAGAGGAGAGTCAGCAAGGATGGTAGGAAAGTTTTCCACTTGACCTTGAGTTGAAGTGAAGATCTGCATACAGCATGGGACAGCTAGATTTTTGGGATGCATCCTTTTTTCTCTCTGTGGCACTTATGCTGCAAAGATTTTTGGGCCATCCCAGCAGCCCAGTCCATCCCAGGGGACCTTCAGAGCCAGGACTTAAATTTTTTCAAGGGGTCAGTTGCAGATAGGCCCCTGCACTGTGTTGAAGTTCCGTAATGGTAATTGCAGGGGAGAAGTGTGTGCAAACAGGACCCAAAATGAGTTGGGATGTCATAAGTCTCCCAGGCATCCCAGATGCCAGAAATTGGAGTTTATGGCTTTGAAAAGGTATCCAACACCCAGTTTGTTTGGATCCAATGGCCAAAATACTGAGTAATTTATGATTTTACCTGCCTAAAGTAAGGCATTTGAGATGGCCTGATTTTCAGAATATGCTGAGCATCTGCGTTTTGAGGTGTATTGAATTATATATCCCAAATCACTAGTAAGTCCTGGAAAATCTTGATTATATTCTTAATTCTATTAAATTGCCTGCATATACTCCATTGGTTCTGGCTTTGCTAGCTGAAGAATGGAAGAGGTGAAAGTTAAATATTGGCCATGTGTGTCATTCCCTTTGAAGAAAATGGGAGCCATGTGCACTCACCTAACAGCAATGTTTGGCCCCAACTATGATTTCACAGCTGGGCCCTAACTTCAGGAATGCCAAAGCACTAAATGACTCAATTGGAGTAATCTGATCAATGCTGTATTTTTGCTGTGGATTTAAATTGCACACACAGCAAGAGTAGAGTTAGTTTTCTTCTCTCTCAAAATCACTTTTCTCTGCAGATTTGATAGCATAAATATGAAGTACTGCTCTCATCACACAACTAAGTGAAATGGCAGAAAACGTATGTCAAATAAAATGCACAACATTACGTCCTTTTTAGTTTTTGGAGGCTGTTTCAGAAAACGGCTTCATTAATTTTGACTGAATAAAAGGTTCCTTTAAGGGATTTCAATAAGTGACATGAAAAATGTTAATACGAATGATCAAGACAATGGAGGTTAAAACTGTTTTGAAAATATGTTTCTTTTATAGATCTCAGCTGTTGGAAGAGTTACAGAATAAATATACGGTAGTGCTGACATTCAGTGCTGTTTCATCTTAGCGAAAGAGTTTTTAATAAAGAAAATTCTTTCCAAGGAATGCTTTCTGCAGCCAGTCTTCAAAAAGAGGTTTTCTCCCCTCCTAGTTTAATAAAAATTAAAGTAATTTATGTCATATTGATATGTCGATATGTTTTTCAATAAACTTTTTCACAGAGATTTTTTTTTTTAAATTCTCTTCACTTTAAAAATTATAATTATATGTCTTCCTCCCACTTTGAAAATGGCACAAGGTGCTCATTTGCAGAGCTCTACTGTTCAAATCTTCCCTGAGAATAGAAATGTCATGACTCAGTTAACAATGCTTTATTATTCACATTGATCTTTTTTTATAGTGTTCTTTATCTCAAAAACATTGTAAATCAGATATCTTCCTCCCACTCTTTTGTTCATTTGCAAATTTTTATTATTCTAGTTTAAAAAAGCAATGGAGTGTCAAGAGTCATTGTATATTGTTTATGTTCTTTTTGCTTCAAAATTACTTTTAACTATAAAAAGTAAGATGTATAGCAGGGGGAAAAAAAGCTGTATTTAAGGATGCTTAAAAAAGAATTGAAGGGATCAGTGTGAATTTTATGCTGTTCGCTTACACCTTGGAGTTGTAAGGACTTTGCAAGAAGGGGGACCAAGCACTTTATGGAAAGGGTTTTATGTGCTAATTCAAAAGTCCCTGTTGCATCAGACATCATCATCCACATTGAACACTGGACATAATTCACCCCCTAAATGAACACAAGAGCAAAATTCACAATTGGTTTTGCCACGTGTTCCCTGGGTGTTTTACAGGCGCCTGCCCAGAGCCCTGCACTCCCATTGCTCCCTGTCAGAGCCTGGCGTCAGGTCCTTGGGAGCCCTTGGTTGATAAACACCAAGATGAATCATGGAATTCTCACAGGAACCTCACAGCTTTGGTATCAAGTGTTAGCTGCAGCAGAAACACAACCTCAGCTGAGCAACAGGCAAGGCAATCCCTGAAACCCACGGGCACAGGATACAGCCCTGCATCCTCTGGGAGAGCCACGCTGGGGAACCCCAGGCCTTGTTTCTAGATTGGATCTCCCAAATTCTCCTTCAGCCACTGTTTTCTTTCCCTATCATGTTTTTCTTTAGGTCTCTATTTCTGTCCTGACTGTTGTGACTGTATGAAATGGCTTCCATGAAATAAATCCATTACAGGAATCGGGGTTAGTCCAGAGAGCAGCAGGATCTGGTGCTATTTCACGTGCTACTTGTTGTTAGATCATTTTTTTTCCTTTTGCCTGTTTTAAATTTTCTGATCAGAACATCCTGGCACCCCATTGTTATTTCAGCAGCTCTTGGAAGAGATCCTACTCTCTGGGAGTCTCTGAGAATGAGTGGTTATTCCTGAAGTTTTCTTTAAGCCCCAGATTGGATTTTTTTGATCTTATGGAATCACAGAGTAGTTTGGGCTAGAAGGGACCTGAAAGACCATTTAGTTCCAACCACCCACCATGGGCAGGAACACCTTCCACTAGATCAGGTTGCTCCAAACCCCATCCAACCTGACCCTCGAACACTTCCAGGGATGGGCAGGATCTTGTAGGTGGTGTGGTAGCTCTATCATATGAAACAGCCATAAAAAGTTTTTTAAAGGAAACTATAGTTTCCTTTCCATATTCTTTTGTTTCTTCTTTTTGTTTCAATGCTGCACTCTGCTGATATTTTACTAAAAGGGATAATTAAAAACCTCAGAGCAGGTAAGTCTCAAACTGAACCTGAACTGAAAACACACAACCCTGTCTTTCCCTCTTCAGGTGGAGGCCTTGGTTTTATTAATGTCACCCCAGACACCATAGGGCCATGCCCGTCCTTGGGATGCAGGAATCTGGGATGCACAGCACCACACAGGGCCCTCAAAGCTTCAAGGACACCCTGCACTGGGTGCTGGAGCAAGTCCATCCCAGAGCTCATGGGCAAGAGTTTGTTTTGCAGGGTTAATTCAAACCTCTCAAATTCTCTTTGTTCTTCACTGCAGAATGTGAAACTGGAAGTTTTGGTGTATTGTCTTATCTGAATTGATCTTACTTTCAAAGTAAAGAAAAAACAAACATTATTATCATTGTTATTGTTATTATTATTGTCCTTGCCTTGACAGCACTGCTGCGTTAATCCTCTTTTCCTTCCTTCCTCTCATAGTTAATGACTCACCACACAATGTGGTTAAGACTGTCTGCAAATATGATCAAGTTTCAGAAACAAAATCCTAATCAGAGCAGAG